ACTCTTTTCTCATTATTTAGACCCGTGTGTAAGACTTTTCAACGCCCGATACGTGCGGTGTGTCTATTCTTCGGCAGACGAACGGATTCCAGCATTGCATCGCCGGGAATAGGGTCGTTCCGCAAGTGGGGTTGGTTGGGCCGGTCGAATGCCACGAGCCCAATAGGCTTTCTTGAGCTAGTACCATAAGATCCCATGTTTTACGATACAGTCTTCGTGTCCGCACGTGTGGGGGCTTTCTGGGAAGGCTCGGGCATTAAATTAAAGGACCGGTGTAGCATTGACACTGCTCTTACAGCCTTCAATTTTTGTTGCTGGTTCAACACCTGCAAGAGGAAACGAACCTAACCGAACGTTTCCTTGCGAACCCGTGATGAAGGCATAGCACATCCCAATATGCCTTTGGGTTTTGGTGTGCAGGGTCAGGGTTTAGAGCTCAGGGTTTCGAACGGGCTTAGAGCGAAAGGCATGTCAACTTCAGAGAAGGCTCATTGCACAATAGCAGTCAAAGCCCAAACCCAAGACCCTTTAGGACTAAACCCTGAACCCCTAGACCCAGCCCTCCAAAACCAAAGATCCCAAACCCCCAAACCCAAAACCCGGAAGTGCTAGACCCTACACCCCAAAACCCTAGACCCTGAACCCTAAAAAAGAAACCCTAAAACCTTGAACGCCCTAACCCCTAAACTCTAGACCCCTAGACCCTAAGACAGGGCGCCTTCTACGTCTTCACCTCTAACGTCGATGGCCACTCCTTTGACTACTTCGAGCCGGAGGAGGCTCAGCAGCCCTTGGGGCCCCTTGGGGCTCCCTTTTAAAGTGGTTTAGGGTTTAAGGTTTAGGGGGAGACAAGGGTTCCTTGGGTTTAGAGAGCTATAAGGACTCTTTGAAAGGGGGCTATATGGGTTTTAAAGGGGTTTAGGGTTTATCAGCATATGCTCATATGCTCAGTGGCATTCTTGCTGTCCTCATCGTGAGTACTTGCCAAGACTTGGTTTTTGAACCCCTAGGGTTCCTTTAATAAGGGGTCTATAGGGGTTACTATAAGGGATACTATAAAGGAAGGGTACTATAGTATATTAGGTCCCCTGGTCTTGCGTTGAGCTTCCTGCATGTTGCGAGGTGCGAGAGTGCCATGGCAACACCGAGGCACGAGTTAAATGCTTGTGTGCGACTTCGCAGGGCCTAAAGAGCCAGAAGTCTTTCGGGTTTAGGATTTAGGGGTTTAGGGTATAGGGGTTTCGGTTTTAGGGTTTAGGGGTTTCGGGTTTAGGGTTTAGGGGTTTAGGGTGGTCATGTGTTTCGGTGCTTTTGATTCAAAGGGGGCTTCTGTTCATGTTTTGTGAGGCTTGGGCCAGGTACTTGGCAGGATTCGGGAAGGCAGAGTCGGGGGCCAACGTAGGATTCTAACATCAGTGGGGTTCGTGCCACCCTCGTCAAACCCAAAACCCCAAAACCCCTAAACCCCCAAACCCCTAAACCCTAAACTCTTAAACTCTCAATCCCTAAACCGCCGAAACCCCTAAACCCCTAAAGCAGAAGCCTCCAAATCAAACTCGGAGCCCTGGCCGCCTCCCCGCTGCGCCCGCTTGGCTCTCAGCGCTGTCCTCGTGACATTACGCTTCCTCTTGTGGCTGTTAAACTCACAAGGAGCCCCTCGGCTTTAGTTTTTGTTTTGGAGGTTTAGGGTTTAGGTTTCAGGGTTTAGGGTTTCCTATTTACGGTTTAGGGTTCGGTTTTGGGGTCCGTTTTGGCCACCAGCCAAGGGCATCTGCCAAGGATGCTTGGGGTTTCGGGGCCTCGGGATGAATGGTTCACGGCGATCTTGGGGTTTCCTAGAGTCCCTTTAGTAAGGGGTCGTCTATAGGGGTTACTATAAGGGATACTTAAAGGATACTATCAGGGTACTATAGTATTTTAGGCCCCCTGCCCCCTGGTTCTCTGACACTCACCCAAGTACACCTTGTGATCCTGACCCTTTAACCCTCAATTCCCAAAGATTCGACCCTCAACTTCCCGGCTTCAACCCTAAACCTTCAGCACCGTAAACCCTAAACCCTGAAGCTTCAACCCTAAACCCTACACCCTAATCCAATTTTCGGAAACTCCCATATGTCCCTTGTCATCCTGATCCTTGAACCCTCAACCACCAACCCTCAGCCGCAAACCTTCAACTGACGTTTCATACACACTCGACATCCAAGCCATAGATTCGGAGTTGAGGGATATGGGTAAGTCTCTAAATTAAGCTCCCTTTTGGGGTCCTTCTTACAAGGGTGCCGCACCATATCGGGGACCCAGCAAGGGACCCCAATGTAGAGAACTACCCATATGGGAGCCTCTGATGCCGAGGATCCATACTCTACTAGCCTTCGGCAGCTGCGCAGCGCTCCAGCACCTGTCTCCCGGCTCTTCTGCTGTTTCTGTCGGTTGGAGGGTGCGGGTTGAGGATTTCGAGTTTAAGTGATTCGGGTTGAGGGTTTAGGGTCTAAGGGATTAGGGTTGAGGGTAAAGGGTTTCGAGTTTGAGGGGTTGGGGTTGAGGATTAAGGGTTTGGGAGTTTAAGGGATTAGGGTTGAGGTTTTTGGGTTATTCTAGAACAGAGAGATCAGGTGCAAAACCAGGGCATTGGGTGGGTAGGCTGGACAGTGGAAGACGTGAATTTCGGGTACACCCCCAGCTATGGCCCACTCGCTGAGTTCCCTGATCTTCAGGGAGCACGGCCTGTCTGGATATTTCATCGGACTTCTAAGACCCTAAACCCTAACCGTAATCTGCGCTTAAGGAGTTGTGGTGTTGTTGGAGTGTAGGATTTGCGACTTGGGATCGACGTGGACGGATAGAGATTGGATACTAGCAACGTTCATGCACGTTTTGAACATAGACATATACGGCTCGTAATAGTACCCCTGTTGTGGACTCTTACTATATGTTGGCAGTACTCAACTTAGAGGCTCTACTGCCAGGGCTTAGTGTAGGCGAGTTAAGTCAGTAGTCAAACTAGGGTTGTGGGATCCATTCTACTTTACTATACTGTTTGTGATACGGAACCCTAAGGGTAAGGGTATAGGGCCCTTAGTGCAGCAATTCGACTAGGGTGTGGTGATCCATTGTCACATCTATGTTAAGGAGCCCGCCGAACGTCTCCACGTCGCTGTTGGAGTCCCGCAAACTGTCTTAGGAGTCATAGACATGAAGGCGGATCCCTGGTTAACTCGCAGGCTGCCGTGGTTTGAACCCGGTGCTATTTAGGATTCCTTCCGGCGAGGGGTAGGTGAGAGGCTCTTTCAGCCTATGAGGTGTTGCGGAATGTGCATGCTTCGGCTGTCTTGACGCCCTAAACTCAAGGCCCTCAGCAGCCTGAAGGAAAGCATGCTTTGATACTTTTTGAGATGGGAGTTTCCGAAAATAAGGGGCACCTTACTTGGTGGTCCTTGCAATACGGATCCTACCCTGTAGGGTACCATATTAGGGTCCCTTATTTTCGGAAACTCCCAGATTCCTAAACCCTTGAGAGAACCCTAAAGGATCCCTGAACGGAACCCTTAAAGGATCCCCTATTTTTGGAAACTCCCAGAGAGCAATACAATAGCAATACCGGTTCTGGATTCTGACATCCAAGGTTGGACGTATGGGCCCCCAATATGGACCCTTAGGCTTTTTTGAGGAGGTTCTAGGGACCTTGAAGAGTCTATATAGGGTATATTGGAGGTATATAAGGATCCCAAGGCTAAGGGCCCATACGAGGGGCCCATGGTTTCAACCGTTGATGACAGCCCAGCGGCCATGGGGTCTGCGATTGAAACGAGGGTCCCTTGTTGACAGGGTGACAAGTAAGGTGGCTACGGTGGTTTTTGTGAAATTATGGCCCGGTTTTAAGGCGCTCATGAACTCTACTTGCCAAGTCCATTGATCCTTCGAGGACCGAACCCCCGAGAGCGTACAAACCTCAGAGCGGCCAGCGCTTTGACCCCACACTGTGCATTTTACAGTGTTACGCACAAGACCTATCTGTACCTAACTTAAGCCATCACACCTAACTCTAGCACTTCCTTGAACCCTCAAGGCCCTTAACCTTTTCTCAACAAGTTTCCTTACAGGGCACTTCCCGGAATCGACCAATGGAACCCTTGTCTCTGAGACATGGTTCCGAAAATAGGGCCCAATATATAGTACCCTAAAAAATGGGATCTCTACTATAAGGACCCAAAATAAGGTACCCCCCCCCAGTTTTCGGAAACTCCCACATGCTTCAGTTGTGAAGAGTTTTGGTGCCTGAGGCCAAACCCATGACTCTCCGCCACTCTGCTCGTTTTGGTAGTTTTTGTTAGAGGGTTGTTCGTGAGAGCTTTACAAAGGTTGCGTCATGCAGGTTTTGCAACTCTTTGGGCTTGTTCTGATTGATTTCTCTGGGGCTTCTTGGAGGGGTGCTATCTAGGGATCTGGACCGTAGGCCCTAACTTTTGTCCGTAGCACACTGAGATCGAAATCAGGCAGAACTGCGAGCGTGTCAAGCCAAATCCGAACAATAATAATCGAAAGTCTTACCATGGACCCGGAAAAAAGGCGTTCTGATGAGGAAGATAGCGTTTCGGTCTCGGGGTCTAAGGGTATGTGCGATTATTCTCCAAATATACCGTGGAAGGCAACCCAGCTTCGAAATTCATGCGTTGCATATTTTTTGTCTCATATCTGCCCTTATGCCTTAGAGGGCCAACCTAGGATAGGGCGAGGCTTCAGAGCCACGACGCCCAGCAACTGGATTCCGACAGCGATGGATCCGAAGCCTCCATGCATTGTGTGCCTCCCGCACCCAAGCCCAAATGTGTTTTAACTCTCGAGAGCCTGAAGCCAAAATCCCAGAGCCGGCGAAGCATAGAAGGTCTTAAGTCCCAAATCCTTAACGTCCAACATCCCCAAGCCTTCCAATCCTCAGCTTCCAAGATTTCGAAGCCGGCAAGACCTTCGCCCTCGGCGCCACCGCGGTGGCACTCCGGGCGATGGGGCCACTGCCGTCCCTGACCTTGGAGCTTTCCGGTTTCAGGGTGGGAGTTTGGACTGTGCGGGCTCTCGGTGTTTGTGCGATCTGGGGTGGGAGGCTGAGATCACACCTTCCGAAACGGACAAAGTTGTCGGAGCCCGCATTGGCGGCCCGAACAGGGATTCGTTTCAACCCCAAGCCCCACAAGTCTTAAAGCCCAAATTCATGAAGCCAAGAGGCAACAGAAAAAGGTTTCAGGTCTTGGAACCTTGTTCCCCAAGCCTTGAAGCCACCAGAAGCCCCGAGCTCGGCGATCAGCCAAGGTCTACCCTGACTACATTGCTCGTTGCTGCTGGCCGCTGGGCGAAAGTTTGTCGACTGGAGTCTGAACGAGCCCCTAGCATAGGGGCCTTACAATACTTACCGATACTATTTTGGGTAGTTATAGTATAGCGGGCCCCCAAAAAAACCCTATTCCAATCGTTAAGGCCCCTATAGCACACCCTCAGCCTCTAAGAAGCTTGACGCCACAACCCTAGACCCTAAACTTCAACCTGAACCCCACGCCCGAATCCAAATTCCACAAGGAACCCTTTGCTTCTTTGGGCTACGGCACCTAGGTGGATACGTGTATTGGGAATAAAGAAATTTCTTAGGATAGGTATTTAGGTTGGTGGGGTGGGTGGTGCCGATAGCCGAAAATGGGCAAGCTATGTAACTATGAGACCCTTATGGAGCCCTTAGAAATTCCCAGAACGTAAGTCTCCTGAGGCGGCCTTCAACTCTGGTCGCTGGCCGATGCGCTCATGACAAGGCCACCAGAGAAAGAAAGCGTCTACCCTCTCATGCTCTACTATATCATACTCTACTTTATATCATACTCTGCGATATGATGCTCTATTGCATAGAATCATCTGCGTTCTTACATTCTGCTCTACTATATCCCACTATGCCATACCGTAGTGTGTTACGCGACAGGGTGTCTGGCTAGGACTTAGGATTGAATGGGGACTTAGGAGTGAAGGGGACTTGGGGTTCGGTGTTTAGTGGACTTGCAGCGTTTAGGGCCGGAACCCCGGAACCCCGAAAGCCTGAACCCGTGAGGCTCTCGACCCAAGGGCGCGAAACCCTGAAGGCGCTAAAACTTTAACCCTAAGCCTAAACCCTGCAGCCAAACTCGTCAAGCCCCTTGAAGGTGCCTGAGGCCTGAAAGTTTGATGCCTCTACGACCCGCGGGGTCCTGTAGCTAGATGTAGATAATGTATTTGGCATATAATGGGCTCCGACATTGCGGGTATATGGCGGTGTCTCACAGTAGATCCTCATACATCGCAGGATGTCATCATACATCAGGAAGCCTGATGGCAGGTTCGTAGTGCATCATTGTGGAATTTTCTGTTCTAGCACAGCAGGCCGTCCTGCTTTGAGGTTTGGGTGTTCTGACTACGCCGACCTTGAACCCTAGCCCTTAACCCTCGGCCCCGGAACCCTCAACCCCTAAACCCTTCACCCCAAGCCCTAAGCCCTAGAGTCCAAACCCCGGTTGTTCAGGACGCCAGCAGTGAAGAAGATCGTTGACGACGAGCCCTCCTCCGTGGAGGCGGAGCTCAGGGTTTCCGATTTGGGGCACTTAGGATAAAGCCTAAAACCTAGACCCGAATCCCTACTTGGAGGGTCAAGGGTAGTTGTAAGTGGGGTTATAGGTGGGGTAACTATAGTTATAAGCCCTCTTAGGGGACATAAGCCTACCTATACCTACCCCTAAAGCCTAAATCCTATAGATCCCTTAATGAAACCGTTACCTCCAGTTTATATCTGCCCAATGAACCTCCAAGTAGACCCTAAACCCCCCAGGCTTCGGCGTTTGGGGGTTCAACTCCCGAGGGTTTCTTGGACGACCCCACTTTAAGAAGGGGCCCAAATAATTACCTATACTATTTTGGGGGTTCCTTATTGTAATGGGCCCCAAAACCCTATTCTAATTATTCAGGCCCCTATAGTTCTTCGTCAACCGAGCAACTGGCATGTGGGGGCTTCCGAAAATAGGGGACCCTAACATAGTACCCTACATAGTAGGATCCTCAATAAGGTACCCCTAATATTCGGAAACTCCCATGCGAAGACTGTGCTTCGGGCGCAGTAGTTCCCAAACCCAAAACATCCCAAAACCCTACCTCAACCCTGAGCCCTGAGCCTTAGAAGTCTGAATTCTCTTTACCCGAGCCCTACGTTCGACACCTTCAGCCCTGAGCAGCGCCACGGCTTGGAAGTAGGCACCCTCCGCTCCGACTCAGCCGCGCCGTCCCTGGACGGCCGTGCTGGCTGCTGTGGCGCTCACTGCTCGCTTGACTTCCGAGGTTCAGGGTTTGAGTGTTTAAGAGCAACGATGCAGGGTTTTTGGATTTGTAGTGTCTGGCTGTTTGTTTACTGTTTAGGGTCTCTCGGGTTTTGGGACTTGGGGCTTGGATGGGCTTGGGCCCCGGGCTTTGCAGTGTTTCGGGCAGGAAGAGCATGTGCAATTCGAACAGGGTTGCTAGGCATCATACAGCAGTTCTGCCGCCGCCCCGCTGTCGGCACTGCTGCCAATGCTTCTGCCAGGTATCGCATTAGGCACAGCCGAGATGTCAAGGGTAATGAGGCGAGCTGTGATTAAGAAAATTCGCCTTCACTGCATCGCTCCTATTGTTCTTGTTGCGGCCGTTGCTGCTGCTGCTACTGCAAGGCTTGCCCGTGTTGGCTGGTGCACCTCAGACTTAGAAAGCAATGCCTTGCAAACTGCTGCGTTTCTAGGTGAATTAGTGGGTTGACTGTTGCGTGTTTGGATGTCAGCAGCTGCAAGCCTGAACCCTCTCGTGAACCGTTTACCTTGGCCGCAAACCCTATGAACACCCCGAACCTGAACGTGGGAAACCCTAAACCGTAAACCCGCAACCGTAAGTGATTGAGTATGGCCTAATTAAGCACTAAACCCTGCTGTCGGTGCGGCTGCCAGTCCATTGTCATCGTGTACATTGCCCTCGGCACTTCCTGTGACTGCGTGGACTACTTCATCGCACACGTGGCGGCTTGGTCTTCTTTAGCTATGCGCACACACACACACACACATATCTATCTGTGCTAACCTTCCTATCTACATACCTATCTATCCATCGTGTGCATTATTCTGAATGCATATCTGTGCCTTCGGTCTAGCATCTTAAGGAATATTGTGCCGCATCCCTCTGCCGGCCCTGAATCACAGAACCTACTGCGTCAGTTCTCCGATTCCCAGACCCTGAACCTTTGGAATACACCATGTGAGCACTTCGAAACTAGGGGCTTCCAGCATAACCAGGCCTTATACCAATCCAATGCTTATGCAACCCTTATTGTTACTCCTTCAAGGCCCAAACTTCCCCATAAGCCGCACGGAGCCTGTAAATGGGCTTTCGGGGTTGTGTGGGATGCCGGAGGTTGCTCGCGGAGATTCATTACACATTAATGTGCCATAACCTACGAGGCGCGAAAGTAGAAGAAATGAAGCGATAAAAGACGGGTAAGGAGCGATCATACGCAATGATATGCTGTAACTAAGATACAACGACGCACTACGTTTTACTATGATGCACTACAGTATACCATGATGTTCTGTAACATAGCAGCATAAACTTAATGTAGTCTGGAATGACCCCCCGGTCATCGACAGTAGAGTCCTCGGGAAGGGAGGCGGCCTTGATGAGCGGTTGATCTTAGTAGCTGAGTGGATACACTTTACACTTTTTGGGATAATACTACCCACCACAACACTGAAAGTGTACCCTTTTTGGGGCTTATGAACTGAGCAAGTAAGTGATGCATGTTAGGATTTCTCTCGAATTATCTGTTTGGGCTACGGGTTAGCAGTCGAGGGTCTAGGTTCGAGTAGTAGGTAGTTTAGTTTCGTGAACATAAAGATGGGGATTGTCATGTGTCATTGTCTTATGATTGAGGTTGGGTTCCTAGTCCCTGACAACTGCCCCATAGAATGCAGGTCTTCCGAGGGCCCAACGCCAGCAGGTGTAGTCCAGCCTTCTCTGCTTTTGCAGAATGATAGGCTGAGGCTTGGGTTCATGTTGTTGAGGAATATTATTGTAGGTTGTTTTGGGGTTCCTTATCACAATTAAAGTATAATATACCCCCAAAACCCTATTCTAATTGACTGTGGATGTGCAGGCATGCAGTTCGTGTGCAGAGCATGCTGCTCAAAGGCATGGAGTCAGGGCATTCAGGTCCGGTTTGGTCCAGTTGCTAGGGCTCCAGACTCATTTCTCTCAGAATAGCTTAGAGTTGAACAGATTCTTTTCACAGATCAGGTAGCATCTGACAGTTCGTTTCGTGAGAGTTTGCGCTGCCGGGAAAAGGCAGTCGGGTCGGGCATTGAGTTCTTGCCTGCCCAACGGGCAGGTTATGAGCCCAAGTGGTTCGTAACACTGCGCCTCCGCCATGGAATCCGCTGGGTCTGCTGATGAGCCGCAGTACCAGCAGGGGCATGTAAGACCTGATACCCTCTTGAATCCGAACAACCTGGAGGGCTCAGGCGGACCGGAATCCCTTGGAGAGAGGAGTTTTTTCCAGGAGGCTTCCAGGATCATCGATGATGGTGGTAACACTGGTGCTGGACAGAGGACACCTGAGCAGCAAGCGCGTGATGTGCTGACCGGTGTTGAAGGGCTTGAGCCTGAGTATGAGTTCGAGTCTGTCGAGGGAGTAGCGTCTCCAGAAGGGGATGGTCGAGAGGAGCAGTCTCCCGGGGTCCAGACCGCTGGTCGGGATCAACGACAATTTCAGAATCTTGAAATGGGTCTACAGCCTGGTGTGAATTCTGGAGAGGTCTTGATCAATGGTGTGGTGCCTGATGTGGGTCATGCTTCAGGGGGACAAGGCCGTGAACCTGAAAGGGGCGGAGTTCTTCCGTTGCAAGCTTTGTTTCAAGGCCAGCTGGGACAGCAGTCTGATTCGCAAGGGAGAGTGGAACTCCTGGAACGGCTGGTACACCAACTTATGGATCAGAATGAGCTGCTGAGGCGTGAGATCGGAGATGTGGCTTCGAGGAGCTCAGCTGAGTCGGGCCAGAGCGGTAGAGAGGTTCCTAAGGGAGCTACTGCTGTCGGGAAAGCGGGTAGCCGAGTAGAAGATGTAGTTCCTGGTCGCGAGAGTAGTGCAGGTGTAGCAAGGAACACTGAGCCAACCTGGAATCCCAGTTTGGCCCAGGTAGCTGAGGGAAGAGGGTTTGGAGCTCTTGGTCGTAAGGCTAAGCTTGGGAAAGGTATAGGTAATCAGGGTGGTATAGACCTGAATGCCGGCCGCTCCAGAGTCTTCAGTCCGCCGTGGACGTCCTTCCAGCAATCCCGAGATGAAGCTATGCCAGCCGCAATGCCAAGTGCCGGGCCAGGGGATAACGTTCTTCGAGCTTCCGTTCAACAGTCCCGAGATGATGTTATGCCTACTGCAATGCCAAGCGTTGGGCCAGGGGATAAGTTTCTTCAGGCAACCCGTGCCATCCAGAATCTATCCTTGGAAGAAGGTCCAGGTGAGTTGTCTGCTGTGCACCCTTCCTGGTTTCAGGTTGATCTAGATCTTCAGGGGTCGAGGCCTATGGAGGTTGAGGATAGTGTTGGGGTCCAGCCTGCTACGCAGTCAGCTGTGCAGCGGACTCACTCGCGCCAGCAAGATAGGCAAATGTATCCTAGTCCCGAAGGAACTGATCAGGATCCAAGGGTCCAGCCTGTGATGCAGTCAGCTGTGCAGCGGACCCAATCGCGCCAGCGGCAGGATGGAAATGTAGATGGGAGTGGGTTAGCAGGTAGGAAGGTACAGGTTTGGATAAACGGAGTGTTGAGGGAAGGGGTTTATGATCATCAGGGTCAGGTGATCTTGACTCCAGAAGCACCTAAGTACTATGCTCTTGAGAGTAGTGACGTGGTTGCCCCTCCTCCTGTAGAGCCTGAAGGTACATTTGTGCCACCTGCGCTTTCGCCTCCGTGCAATGTAGGGAGGCCGCGAAAACCTCAGGGCCCGTGGAGCCCACAAGCAGCGTCTCCATTTCGTACTGCCGATGGTAGTCCTCCACCACCGCCACCACATCCCCCTGTTCCTGTAGATAGGCCGAGTAGGACCGTAAGGAATGCGGAGAGGTCTCCGACTGGTGTAAGGCAGGGATACTCAAGGAAGTTTAGTCGGTCACCTCAGCCGAGTCCTGCCAGGATTGTGCCTCAGTCAGGGTCTCATCCTAATGCGTCACCGGCCACGCCGGGGGGAACGCGACTGCCGCCAGGGCCGCCTCCCAGGACACCTGTAGTGGGCGAAACTCAGGCTGCTCAGGGCAGTGGTCAGGGTGATGGGCTTTTGGAATTTAGTTCAGGGCTGAAAGACTTTGTACCGGGGGATCGTACGTATTGGGAGTTGCCGGTTTTAGCTGCGCCAAGTTCTGAGGTGAACCCAGCCATGCGATGCAACGACTGGATATATAAGATCGGTCCTCTCATGAGCGATCTAGCGCCGAGGGCAAACATTTGGTGGGCGAGGGTTTTGAAGGAATCCCAGGATGCCTATCAGCAGTGGTCGAGTGCCAAACCGTTGGATCGTGCCAAGATTGTCGGGAAGCCAAGTAGCACTCTTCAGGGAGACATGTTCACCAGGATTGAGTCGAGGGGGGTTGCTATGCTCTCTAAAGCCCTCCCTAATGTTGTATATGAACAAGCCCTTTCCAGTCGCAACGTCTCGTGTGTAGGACTGTTGTTTCTCACGCTTAGAATCTATCAACCAGGTGGTCTAAACGAGAGGGCTGAGTTGCTGCGTGGCCTGACATCACTGCAGGTGTTCGATACTGCTGTGTCGGCAGTTGGAGGGCTTCAGAAATGGTTCAGGCATCTGGAGCGTGCTAATACCATGTCGATCTCAGTTCCGGATAGCTCTTTGCTACTGCAAGGCGTGGACAAGAGCGTGCATACCTTGTTGCAGTCTCATCCTGCACTGTCCTTCCGAATGCACAGTGTTCGCATGCAGCTGCAGTTGGATACAGTTCCGACTCATGAGCGCGTGGAAGAGTACGTAACTACTCTCCTAGCTGAGTTTGAGCTGTTAGCCGTTGCAATGCCGGATACATCAGCGAAGCGTCCTCGTGTAGCAGCAGTGGATAAAGGAAAGGGTGGAAACAAGTCGTCTGAAAAGGGTTCCGAGGCCCAGGGAACTCCCGAGAAGCCGAAGCCCGAAGCCAAATCCAAGCTTCCATGTCGAGGGTGGGTCACAGATGCCGGGTGTAAGTATGGGAAAACATGTAACTTCTCTCATTCGGCAGATCGCCCAGGGAAATGCTGGACATGCGGAGGGTCACATGCGAAGGCTGAGTGTACAGCTCCGGGAGGGGGTAATGCCCAGAAACCTGCTGCAACAGAGACTCCAAAAGGGAAGGGAAAACCGTCAGGGGGTGAGCCGAAGGGTGGGAAGCCCAACCAGGGTGCACCTAAGGGACTAAAGGGTTCGGGAGGAGCACAGAAGGGAGCTAGTGGGCTTTCTGAAGATGCAATAAAAGAGGCAGCCCAGCTGCTTCAAAGCTTGAGGCTTGCGGCGATCAGGCCATACATTCGTTCTGCAACGGAAGTGCTCTGTAAAGCTCAACAAGGCGAGCCGCGTGGTCTGATAGATGGCGGTGCCACTGCATGTTTAAGGACAGCTCTGAGTCATGAAATGGAGATGCCAAGTGTTGTAGTCCGACTAGCGTGTGGCGAATGCTCGCTGTTGGTAAATCCCCAAGGAACGCTTTTGAGCAAGACGTTTGTGAGTCCGATCCTTTCTGTTCGGGCGTTGCTAGCTCTTGGCTACAAGGTGGAGTGGGATTCTTCTCGTTGTAGAATTTGGCATCCTTCGCGGGGTGTATTGGATACGGATGTTAGCACTGGTTGCCCGGAAATCTCTGAGCAGAAGGCCTTGGAACTTATCGGGGAATATGAGGCTTTGGTGCAGCGCGGGGAGAGTCGTTGTGCACGACTGCACTGTTTGATGAAGGATTTAGCTGGATTGAGTAATGCTGAGCTTGCTGATGTGATTGTTCGTCGGGATGTGCACTCAGACGCAGCTGTAAAGAAGCTGGTTGAGAAAGTGTTTGGGGATACGCCTAGTGATTTGAGGGAGCAGGCGGTTGCATCTGTGCAAGATCCAGCTGGTGAGTCTTTCACATGGAACAGAAGGATGCGGAGGAAGTTTGAGCGTGCGAAAGGCCTAGTTGTTCATCTGTTCTGTGGTGAGGGCAGAAAGGCTTTTGATCGAGTGTCCGAGAAACACGGGCTAATCCATGTGCCGGTTGACACAGCCGAAGACCTGTTGGCGGAAGGTACCTATCAGTATTTGCTCAGGCAGGCTGCTAAAGGAAGAGTTCGTGCAGTGATCGGAGCCCCTCCTGGCAGGACATTTGCGCCGTGTCGGTACTCAGTAGGTGAGCAAGGCTCAGGTGTGAAGCCTCTTCGAGTAAGGGGGGAGAGTCTTGGTGAATACGGTGTTGGGGAGTTGACATGTCAAGAGCTGGCACAACGCAGGATAGATGATGTGTTGATGATGAGGATGATGGTGCTGATGCTGGTGGCGCAGGGTTCGAATGAGGCTCTGAAGGAGCCGACCCCACACTGCCTGGTGGAACATCCTGAGGACCCTGAGGATGGGGGTATGGTAGGTGTTGCCCTGAGGGAGCAGACGAAACCTGAGCTCGGGTACGCGTCGTTCTGGGCCACACCAGAGTGGCAAGCGATATCAAAGGAGTTGCAGCTGTCACCTACCTCCTTTCATCAAGGACCGTTGGGGCACCAGAAGGTAAGGCCAACCACCATTTATACAAACATGTATCCGGATCCTTTGCTTGTGGACTGTTGGGATGATGGGTTCCAGTCTCGTCCGAAGGTCGGGGGTAAGGGGTTGTCTTGGTCTCAGTGGAGCCCAGGGCTTTGGATTGCTGTGAGTAACATGTTGGCGAGAGCACTTGCGGAGCAGGTGCCGAAGGGACTCAGAGCGATGGATTCTGGTTTCATAGAGCACCTTCGCAATAATCACACGCCATTTCGCAGAGATTGCAAGCAGTGCATTCGCGGCGGGGCCAGACACAAGCAGCATAGGAAAGTCCTTGCCCCACAGGGTTGGTGCATGAGTATAGATACGGCCGGACCATTTCCAAAGGGGCTAGATGAGAATACCACCGCTGCCAAATACCTGATTGTTGCAGTTCTGTCAGTTCCTATTCTGTCGGTAAAAGGGGAAAGTGTGGATGAACCGGCGGATAGGGACCCACAGCTTGATCTTCAAGAGTTTGCGGAATCTCTAGATGATCGGGAATGGTTTGTAGAAAGGGGTATGGAACTGGAGGAACCACTCCCTGAGCCTACACATCGTGAAATTACTGAGTCGAAGGACTCCTGGGCTACATGGGAGGCAGTAGTTCGGAAAAGTAGAAAGGATTGGTTAGAAGAAGCCAAAACTCAGTTTCTTCCGAAAGTGGAGATGATAGACTTCGTATACACTGAGGCTGTGGATTCGAAGAAGCAACAAGTCGTTGCAGGTGCCATTAGCCGTATGTACGCACGAGCAATATCAGACGGGTTGAGCGTCCAACGTATCCATACGGACAGGGGAAAGGAGTACCGGAACTCCGCATTGGATGCCTTCTGTCAAAAGCTCGGAGTTCATCATACATACGCAATGGCAGAGGAACACCAGACCAATGGTCGCGCGGAGGGGGCTATATTGAAGATCAAAAATCGAACGAGGGAGATCCTCGAAGGATCAGGGCAAGATGATCTTTCAGAGTGGCCATTGGCGGCGAAATTGGCGTCGTATCACTTGAGATCTGAAGCTCGCAAGAAGTTGCGGATGCCGTGTGAGCCGACAGTACCTTTCAATACGGAAGTTGAAGTCTTGCAGAGGTCGTGGCGGCGTGGAGTTTGGAGTTCGAGAACTACCACGGCTGTCACAAAATGTCCCTCTTCGGAAACTTCGAGGGGGTGGGTGGTGAAAACGGCCGAGGGCCAGCTGTTCACCACCAGCAGGCTTTTCCCTTCCATGGATGGCAACAGGATACGATTTAAATACGAAGGTACCCCATTGGATTTGGATGCACCGTCAGTTAGGATCCGAGAGAAGGGCAGGGTTCGTAAGCTTGGCTCTTCAGTGGATGGTGTTGTGTCTAAGAATCCAGCAGAGCGTTTGGCAAGGTCCTTGTATGAAGCAGGCAGTTGGGAGCCAAAGGACGTGGCGTCCCTTGCAGTTGCCATGTCGAAGCACGTGACTTCCAATAGTAGGGCTGTGGTCAAGGATGAGTTTGAGGCAAGGAAACTTGAGTGCAATTTCATGAGTGGTGCTTTTACGTTCAGCGGGATGACTGGGGTTCGTAGTGATACGTCTGATTTCCCATGGATTACTCGGTATCTGTGTGGCTATCTGGCCAAGCATTCTGATGAGCCGTTTGCGGGAGTGGGTTTGGCATTGAACACTGATCATGTGCTACACCGAGATTTGCACAATCAAAGGGAGGTTGCTAACATTGTCCTGCCCATTGTTACTTCCGGGGGAGGCTTGTGGATTCAGAGTCGCACAGGACTTGATCCAGTGGCTCCGACACCAGGAGTTACGGAGTCTAGGATGCTGGAAAATGGGACTGAGGTTCAGGGTCGCACTTATGTGTATGAGTCACACAAGCCGGTTGTGTTCCATCCTCATGTATGGCATGAGTCCAAGAAGGGTGATGGGCCTCAGCTCCTACTGTTTGGGTTCACAGCTCGCCATCTGCACAAACTAAAAGAGCCTGAGAGGAAGCGACTATGGGAAACGGGATTCACGTATTTGCCGGGAACCAAATCAGAGTACTGGGGCTTCAAGACGTCTTCAAACACTTTGGTTCGGTATCATCCTGTCCCTCGTCGTCAGATGTTTGTCCCGTCGGATCAAGATTGGCTTCCGTTTCCGCGGTCGTGCTTCGGAGACTTGAGATTGTGCCTGCAACAGTTTCAGGGCCAAGAACCGGTTCGCTCATTCCAGTGCTGGCGCAAGGGCCGAGGCCGGGCGCCGGCCAGTAAATGGACGGGGTGGTCTGCTTTCCCTTTGCATCTCAGTGACCCAGACAACGGTCGGTCTGGGGGGGGGGATCCTCCTGAGGCAAATTTCGATGCAAATTTCGATGCAAATTCTGAGGTTAAGATTGGGGCAAAAGCAAGCTTCAAGCGAGGTGAACCTGGGGATGGGAACCAAGGCTGTGGCACTAAAGACTCAGTGCTAGGGTCTGGCAAGGTCTCAGGGGTGATGTCTGAAAGGAACTTAGCCGCTTCAACGCCAGGGGTGGTAGAGGTTCCACATGAGGGTGAAAGGTTGTCGATGGTTTGGTGTCCGGCATGTGATGCAGTCGGGTGGGCAGCGGACTCAATCGCGCCACCACAAGCTACAGGCTGTATGCAGGCTGCCAATGGGGAGCAGCCGCAGGGATACAAAACGGATCAGGCAACAAGTAGCTGTATAGGTTCCCCTGAGTTAGTGCCGCAACCGGCCAGACAGCGAGGAAGGAGTCCACAAGGTGTATGTGAAACTGGGACTGTGAAATCTGGTGCAGGTACAACAGGTAGAAGCCGTGCTAGAGGGAACCATGAGTCATCAGGTCTGCGGAGGGACATTTCGCCAGCTCCGCTTTGTAGCTGGGGGGTTAGATTTGCTTCGAGATTTCGGTTGAAGAGCGTGCGGAAGGTGTTGAACGAGAGTTGTGCCTCAGGGTTGATTGGTGACACGGGCGAGGCTTCAGGAGGGAATTGCTCTCGGGGGGGAAGTTGTACGGGATCGCCTGTAATGCAGTCAGCTGTGCAGCGGACTCAATCGCGCCAGCAAGATAGGCAAACTTGCATTGGCGAAAATCTTCTTGTGAAAGGTCTTGAGATTCTTCCACCTCCGCGACCCAAGGCTACTGTTAGCGAAGAGTTTCCTGAGTGGTGTCCAGCTGGTGTGTACATAGCTTGCCTTGTTGCGGAACTTCGGGCGCTTTACATGAAGCTTCAAGGTGATGAGGCGGATACCTGCTCAGGTGAGGCTCAAAAGGGCCATGGGGAAGTGGATGCTTCGGTTTCTGGTGAAGCTGTAGGGTGCTCAGACTTTGAGTGGGATGATGACTCTCAGGATGTCAAGATGTACCAGGTGCCAGATTGCATCAAACCACTGCGTCCATGTCATTCGTCGGATGTTGGGGATAGCTGCTACACACTGGAGCGAGTGGATTGGCCTATGTGTGTCAACGTAGCTGATGAGATGCAGGAGTTGGCTGAGGTGCATAGGGCCATGTGCAGCTTGTTGGATGGGCAGTCTGAGGAAGTAGATGGCCAGTGTTGCAGTTGTGAGGCTCAGTGGCTTGACGAAGTTCAGGGTTTGGAGCAAGAGCTTCAGAGGATTAAGGGATTAGAAGATAGTCTGCTGTTGTCCTCCGAGGGTCCAATTCTTAAAAGTATTGAACTGTGTGTTGACAATGAGGTGGAGGCTGAGGCCTGCCAGTTAGACAGGAAGAGCGAGGAGTGCATGCTGGGATCCGGGAGTCTAAAGGCTGTTCAAATGGACGATGATGATCCACCACCTCTTCAGTCGAAGATTGTAGCGCAGGACCAGGTTCGACGTGAGCTTGGTAAGTGGCGTGGATCTATGGGGGAGGAAGTAGAGTCGTTAGTTCAGAAGACTGAAGCAGTTGAAGACTTGACAGACGACCAGTATCACAAGCTGGTGGCGGATCCAGGCGTGCATGTGGAACTGATTCCAGGAAAAATGGTGTATGTTTGGAAATCCACTGGACGTCGTAGGGCGAGAATGGTGGGATGTGGCAACTTCTGTGACAACGATGGCAGCACTCAGAAGGCAGATCTTTTTGCGAGTGGGGCTGGTGCGGAGTCCATTCGAATGATGATCCGCAAGTGTACTCTGGAACCATCTTGGCATCTGGTCTCGGTTGATGTGAAAACAGCTTTTCTCCAGGCGCCGCTTATGGAAATGCAGAAGGATGGTAAGGAGAAGGTCACAGTCGTTAAAGTTCCGAGCATATTAAGGGAAGCGGGTGTTACTGCTACCAAGTACTGGAAAGTCAAGAAAGCTCTTTATGGTCTGAACTCGGCGCCGCGCTCGTGGAGCCTTCATAGAGACCGGGTGATGACGGATCTTCGGATTGAGTATGGTGATGGCATCTTGAGGCTTCGAAAGCTAAAGGAGGACGCCAATCTCTGGCAGATTCTCAAGTATCCACGGGAGGGCAGAGATCCTGAGAAGGAAGCCGGTGAAGCAGGAGGACAGTGCCTCGGGATTATAGCCTTGTATGTGGACGATATCTTAGTTGCGTCGGAAAAGGACGTTGCCCAAGCTGTAGTTCGCGGACTGGAATCAAATTGGGAATTGTCAACCCCGGACTGGGTGTCGGAGGAAGGAGATTGCTTGAAGTTTGCAGGCTTCGAGCTGGAAAAAACCAGTCAAGGGATTCGTCTTCATCAGGAGAGCTACACCAAGGATATCCTAGAACAGTACCAAGACACAATCCCGGGTGTGGAACGTACACCAGCTGTCAAGACTGTTGAAAGTGAGGAACCGGTGGATCGTTCGGAACAGCTGGAGTGGACGAAACGTGCACAATCATTGATTGGACAGTTGCTCTGGCTTGCGGGGAGGACCCGTCCTGACATTGCTTATGCTGTGAATCTTGCTGCTCAGAGGATAGTGCCATCTCCGGGTGAGGCGGTTGCTCGCGCAGAACACTTGATCAGGTACCTTAGGCATGCTCCAGGAGTCGGTCTTCATTATGTGCCACCAACAGGACAGTGTGGAAGGTGGGACCAGCTTAAGTTTCAGGAGACGAGGACAAGTCTAGAAGCATACTCGGATGCCTCTTTCGCTGCGGATGAGAAAAGCCGTAGTTACGGCTGTATTCAGCTGTGTTGGGGAGGAGCGCTGATATTCTGGGCCTCATGCAGGCAGACTCTCATAGCGTCCCATACTGCTGAAAGCGAATTGTACTCGTTGGCAGAAGCGCACTTGTTGGGGAAGGCCATGAGACCAACGGTCGCAGCTCTGATGAACGCTCAAGAGGACCAGGTGGATTGCAGGTTATACTGTGATAATTCTGCGGCAATTCAATTGTGTGTTCTGGAATCAGGGTCGTGGCGTACACGCCATTTGCGATTGCGCGGTGCGGTGGTTCGACAGGACTTAGAAAACGACTCCTGGAAGTTAGCGCATCTAGATGGGGCTTACATGCCAGCGGACCTGGGGACAAAAGCAGTAGGACCAGCGAGACTGGAAGACTTGATTAGGGTGTGTGGGTTATGGGCTCCTCATCTTGAACTGTCGAATGATCCGCCTAGGCCTCAAGTAGCTGCAATGCAAGGAACTCCTAGTGATGTGTCGAAGGCGCTGTTAGCACTGTTGGTGCTGCTGCAAATCTCGGCTGTCAAAGCGGAATCAGTCTACGCAGGGATGGATGATCTAGTGACCTTGTGGCGAAGCTTCATTGTTGGGTTCGGGATAGGCTGTGGGTGGATGCTTGCGTCCAGATTGGGTAGGTTGCTCGATCGATGTTGTCGCAGGCGCCCAGTAGTCATGGAGTTCCGAGGACCCCCAGTAGGGACCAGTGGTGTTGAAGGATGGACTCAAACTGAAGGGTCAGAGGTTCAGAGCCGCTTGGAAGCGGGGGAGCGTGGGACCCAGGCTGCACAGCACGTCGGATTGGGGGTTCCTTCAGGGTTGATTGAGAGGGATGTGGGAGAATCTACATGTTACGAGGACTTCTGCGAGAGGGCTTTTCCGGAACTTCAGGGTTTGTCTAGAGGGTCGGGTGACATTGTGGGTTCAAGTGAAGCGTTGGAGGTGCTGCCAGGACCAGTAGACAGAAGTGGATCACCGGAGGTGAGGTTTCCTAGCGGACAAGGACAGTATGACGCAGCGAGTGCATATGCTACTGCTACGGCTTCAGATATGGAACCACTGTATGTGCAGAGGCCTGTAGGGTTTCCGCCTGGTGACATGATAGAGTTGGCTCGTACTCCCACGGTTCCGTTGCCTCCTAACTATCCTTACCCTGAGAACTTTGGCAATCGTTTTGTGTATGCCGACGATGAAGTTGAGCTAGGTGAAGATTCGGATAGCGGTGACGAAGCCAGTTCAATAGGTCAGTGGACTACAGATTCAGGCATGCCTAGGGGTCGCGGCTCAAGCTCTGCAGGATCGCAGGGCACCGGCAGGAGCCTGACGGCAGTGAGCCTTGCTGCTTCGGTCCAGTCGGCTCAAGCTTGGCAGGACGCTGCTCAGGAATCTGATGGGACTATGGAACTTTGGCTGTTGCTGGGTATGATTTCTGTAGGCTGCATTTTGGTTGGGGCTGTAGGCGCTATTGGGTGCATGTGGTTGTGCAAGTGCAATACCCACAGGCATCAAATTTCAGCTGAATGTACTCCCACTACTCCTCCAACTCAAGGGCAGAAGGTTGCTGAGAAGAGCAGTTATTCTGACCGGCATGTTTCGGAAGGGCCTCTTCAATTTTCGCCAGTTGTGAATGTGACTGTTCGGACACAGTTTCAGGGAGAAGATTGTGCTCAGCATGAGAGGGTTGAGGTTTTGAAAAGAAGCTCCGAAGATGATATCAAGGAGGGCTTGCGTCAGAGGGGACAGCAGAAAACCTGTGAATCCACTGTAGGCCCCCTTAAAGGTTTAGAGCCTCATAGGACCCGTGTTGAAGTCTCCGCGATGGAGTCTGCGCAATCCCGTGTAGGCCCCCCTAAAGGTTTAGGGCCCCATAGGACCTGTGCGGAAGCCTCTGCGGAGAGGCCTGTGCAATTCCCTGTAGGCCCCCCTAAGGGTTTAGATCTCAGTAGGACCCGTGCTGAAGCATCGGAAGTTGAGCCGGTGCAAGCCCCGGTAGGCCCCCCTACGGGTTTAGGATCCCATAGGACCTCTGTGAAGGCACCCGAAGTGGAGCCAGGAGTTTCCCAAGTAGGACCTTGTGGTTTAGGACTCCCGAGTATCCCTACAGGGTCTAGTGATAAAGTTGAAAGGCCCAGCGGGTCAAGTGGCGACGCTCAGTTCGATGTTCAGGTCAGTGGGTCTGGTAGAGATCTAGATCAAGAGCGTCCAATTGTGCGAGCAGATGGGTTTGTTGAGTATCCCACACGCGCGGGGTCTCGAATTATGATCGATAGGATTATCCGACCTCGCGGGTTCAAGAAGATGGACATTTATAGTTGCAGTGCAGATGAGCCGGGGGTCAATGTGATCTTCACGAAGAACGGAGATTGCTTTCACAGGTCTCTGGAGTGTCCGGCAGCTAGCAAGTCTTCGGACATTCGCAGGCGTCAGACTTGTTTTGTATGCAACAGAGGGGAGGGATTTCCAAAGCAAGATACGATCTACTTTAATCGCTGGGGAAAAAGGGTTCATGTGAGCCGTGACTGCCCTGCTTTGGACCCTCACCAAGAGGTTTGTGCTCGCCGCAGGTGTAAGTTCTGTGGAAGCCAGTGAGGCTTTGAAAACATGGACAGCAGTGCGCGAAGCACCCCATGCTTCAGGGCATTTCGTCCTGCACAACAGCATGGAACGAAGCAAATGTTCGTTGGGGGAGTGACTGTGGATGTGCAGGCATGCAGTTCGTGTGCAGAGCATGCTGCTCAAAGGCATGGAGTCAGGGCATTCAGGTCCGGTTTGGTCCAGTTGCTAGGGCTCCAGACTCATTTCTCTCAGAATAGCTTAGAGTTGAACAGATTCTTTTCACAGATCAGGTAGCATCTGACAGTTCGTTTCGTGAGAGTTTGCGCTGCCGGGAAAAGGCAGTCGGGTCGGGCATTGAGTTCTTGCCTGCCCAACGGGCACTAATTATTAAGGCCCCTACATCAGGGCTCGGGGAGGGTCACGCACAGTAGAAATCCCAGGCGGGGTGAGCTTTGAGCTTCAGTGGGTGCCTCTGCTTCCGCGACCTCTTCCATGAACCTCCAATCAGCCCGCAACCCTGAAGCCGCACAACCCAAAGCGATGGGTGGCCTATAGTCGGACATAGGGCACATCAGGCCGTATGACGGATCTTTCTTTTTCTTTCGTTTCTTCACTCTGCATCCATGTTTGTGAGCCGCGTCGCGTGTCTTGTTGCAGCATGCCTGCGAGCGGGCTTTTCTTTGCGTTTCGCGCTGCTGGCCGCAGGCGTGGCAAGTGCTGTGACTGGATCCTTAGACCTGAAACCTACGTCGGCGTGGCACCAGTGTTGATGTGTCAAAAGTACAAGACCAGCGGCTGGTGCTTTCAGGTGCTCCTGTTGAGTGCTGCACACAGAACTCCGAAGCCCTCTCGAAGGGGTTGCAGCCAGGATTTGTGGACCTTTAGCCACATGATGACATGCCAGGTCTTCATGTTGGGTCATTTTGTAGACTACCTACCCCTCTACTCATCTTTCGACTTGACCCGTGCGGGCGATGAAAGCCCATGGCACAATGACCCCGAAGCCCCTTCAAATCCAACCGTTTTCCCACAATAGGGGCCTAAATAATTAGCAATACGATATTGGGGGTGCCTGATTATATATCAATAATAATCTTGGGCCCGAAAACCTTATTCTAATTATTAAGGCCCCTATATTGTACTACCCTTATAGATCCCTTATGGTAATGCTTATAGACCCCTTCAAAGGGAACCCTGCTTTCAGTATCAAGGACCCTATATCGGAGGATGGACTCCTGAGAGTTGTTGGATGGAAAACAAAGCTTAGGGGTACCTTATTTTGGGTCCTCATAATGAGGATCCTCTTATTTAGGGTACTATTTTGGGGTCCCCCATTTTCGGAAACTCCCATATACCCAAACCTACAAGAAGCCCTCAAGTAACGTATCAAGTCCTACCCCTGGAACCCCCCAAACCCGCAACTCTGGGCAATCCTGAAGGCTCAGCACCACGAAGCCCAAGGCCCTATATCCCAAGTTGAAGCCTTAAGAAGTCTGCATGGTACCTCAGACCCTATACCCGAATCCCTAAACCCTAAACCCACAAACCTAAACCCTAAAACCTAAGCCCTGTAATGCGGACGCTTTGTCCAATCCCAGCTAAGCGCACCCTCGCGGCGCAGCCATCAGTCCAAAACAGTATAGTATAGTTGAATATAGGAGAGTGCAGCATAGTTTATAGTATAGCATAATATGGTATAGCATAGCATAGTATAGTATAGTATACTACATTCTAGTACAAGTAGGGTCCTCGTTTGAAGCTGAATGTGGTTTGCATTTTCTGGAACTTCCATCAGCTTTGCAATCCCAAACTCTTAGGTTTACATGCATTCAGCGTGATCAGCCTGAGCACCAAGCCTCCCGAAGCCTCAACCCTAAAGCCTAAACCAGTTCTGCCCGGGCGAATCCCTGGAAAGGTGGCGAAAGCACTCCTTGCCTTCGCCCTGGGTATGCTTTGCCAGCTCCTAATCCAAGGCCTTCCGAGGTAAAGCGGTTGTAGTGCATTATGGCCTAATATAGAACTATATAACAGTCTAGTATATGACACCATGATTACGACACTATGATAGAACATGATAGTAGATCATGGTAGAGGAGGTTTTTGGGGCCTATTTAGGCTTGAAGGTTTAGGACAAGGGAGAGTACTTGGAGCGAGCTTTTCAGGAGGTTGGGCTCCTTTTGGGGCTTTGTGGGCTTTGGGCTTTGGGTTTGGCCTGGCCCTCCAGCTGATTCTCCCAGCATAGACGTATTTCAAAAGATGTCGGGGTTTAGTCCGAATCTCCAGCTTGGAGGGGGCTGGGTCGGAGGATGTTTCTCTCTCGTTCCAAACCCCGATGTCAGTTTAAATCCAATGGTTCGCTACGCGCTGTCGTCTAAGTCGTCTAGGTCAAAAAGTTTCTCACGTTGGTAGTTCGTCGGTAGTTCGTCGCCTCTCGCTGGGTTCAGCTTGCATCTTTACTTTACTGGTCACTGTCATGGGGAGAGCGTGTAGTGATCCATTATGTTATAGACATGCGAGTACAGACCGGTGATACATGCTCAAAACGATTTTGCGTTGTAGCCAGTACTCTAAGCTTGTTGACCTGCCGACATCAACGGTTCTTTTGAGAGCCCTGAACCCTGAACCCTAAAAACTAATCCCCCAACCTTATTCTAGTTATTAGGGCCTTTACATCGCACGGAGTTCCGGCAGCAAAACAGCCCCTTCTGAAACATGCACAAGGTGAAGGATCTCACACCCAGCCTTAAATCCTCGAACCCAAAACCCTGGTTCCTAAACCCTAACCCTTAAAACCCAAAGCCCTGGACGCTGAACCATTAGACCCTGACGTTTAGAGAACCAGAGAACCTGGACCCGTCAGCTCTGAAGCGTGTCGGCCCGAACCTTTGGAACTTGGGGCCTGAAGCCCGTCAGAGTTAGATCCTCAAAGATCAAAGCCGAGGAAAGTTCTCGGTTCTGAAACCTCATGTAAAAACACTTGAAACCCTAATTCCTACCCCTAAATCCAATAACCGCAAGCTCAAGACCATCTGAAGCCCCAAAACTTCTCGGCCTTGTAAGCGTTGAACTGATTCAAGCCTCAAAGCCTCAACGCCCAGCAGCACCTTAGGGTCTAGGGTTGTAAGGGTGTGAGGTTTAAGGGCTTCCCCAGCGGCCATCCCTGAACTCCCAACACTCAACCTGAAACCCTAAACGCCCAGATCCTGAACCCCTAAGCCCTTAAGCCCGAAACCCGAGATGCTTTCTTTTTTTCTGGACTTCCCCCGGACCACAGGATTCCTGCCAGGCCTCCGCCCAGCCGCCAAGGCCGATGGGACACCTCTAGAAGCATATATATATATATATATGTACAAACACATGCTGTGTATGGATATACATGTATATATATATATACCTTTATAAATACGGTATCCGTGTAGTACCGAATATATTATATATATATATATATATATACACACACACACATTTGAATGGGTGCTTAATTAGGTACGTTGAAGCTGAAGTATAGACGAGAAGTGTTTCAAGCGAGAACTACAGCGTCGGCAGGTGTGGCGGCTTAGCACAGCTCTTCAACGCTTTGCAGTGGGTCTCTTTACCAGTGCTGGTGTGTGTGTGTGTGTGTGTGTGTGGTTTTGAGCAACTGCCCCCCCTACGTCCTAAACCATCCTAAACCCCTAGGTTCCTACCCCGCAGACTGCATAGAATCACAAGCCAGATTATTTAGTCTGACATCCGAAAAGGCAAGGGCTTACAGTCGAACTCGGCCTGTAGTAGTAGGAGCCATATCATCGGCATCCCCCCAACCCCATGCCGCTAATCCCGTTTTTACCCTAAACCCTAAGCCTTCAACGCTAAACTCTGAACCCTGAACCCCAGACCAAAGAAACACCCTGAAATGGGAGCCCTCGTCAGTGCTCAACAGACTTAACGAGCACCTTCACAGCGCCCAAGAACCTTGGGTGACATGCCGTCCCAGCTACAGAACCCCCCGTCGAAATCTCGTCAGCCCTGTTTTAGCATATTTGAGTATGTTAATAACAATATATCATGAGTACGTCATCGTAGAAAGTCTGTAAGACACCATCAAACCTCCGAAGCCCTGGACGATGACCCTAAAGCCTGCGCCCGGAACCCTGTAAGCAAAAGCCCCATAAGGCCCTGTAAGATGCGATGAGGTTGTGGAGGAGGAAGAGGAGGAGGCGTCCGACAACGACGTCAGCCCGTACAGTGCCTGGGTGGTAGATAGGTTGGTTTAGGGGTTGACGGATTCAAGGGATCCATAAGGGTTCTATGATGTGGTTCAAGGTCGAGGGTCTCGGTTTAGGCGGTTTTAGGTCGTGGGTTTAGGTTTTCTCAATGTACAGTGTTAAAAATTTGACGTGTTTGAGGGGGTTTTGCATGAAAAACCGAGCCTGGAAGCCCGTGCTTCGCGAGGCCAAGGTCGGGTTCAGGGTAAAAAAGGGGCCTCATAATTACCTATACTATTTTGGGGGTTCCTTATGATCAATATAGCATAATCGGCCCCAAAACCTTATTCTAGTTATTAAGGCCCCTATATTAGCTTGTCCGGGCTTTCGGGTTTAGGGTTCCGGCTGATGCGGGGCGTGGGGTTGAGGGTGACCCTGCAGCTCGAGCTGAGCCAATTGAAGCTCAAGCTTCCAACGTCGAAGGTTACATGGAGGTTCATGGGTAGTTCTAAGTAGGGTGAAAAGTCCCTTAATAGGATCTTTTACTACAGTTACCCTACTTTTACTACAGTTACCCTACTTATAACCCAACTTATAACTACCCATGAACCCCCAAGTAGACCCTAAACCGTATACCCTATTAGAATCCCTATAGATCCCTTCAAAGGAACCCTTATAACTACCCTTACAACCTCCAAGTAGGGATGCTTAGGGGAGGCTGGAGCTTTCGCGTTTTGGAGGGTTCTTCGTGGTTGGCGCGAGCCTAGAGCCGGGCCCTGGGCAAGCGGGTTTAGGGTTTCAGGGGTTCAGGGGTTAGGGTTTAGGGTTTAGGTTTTCTATTGGCCTTTTTCGGATGAAGCAGTTTTGCATTAAACCTATGGCCCAAAGTTCCTAAATTCGGATGAAGCATTTTTACATAAAACCTATGGCCCTGAACTCGTAAACCCTGAAGTTTAGTACCCTTCTGGTACTATTAGAGAGACCTTCGAAAAGCCCCCATGGCACTCTGAGGTGCCGAGTTCTGGGATGATCTGGGGCCACTTTCCACCAACGAAGAGACGACGGACGTCACCAAGGCCAAAGGGGGCTCCTCTCTGTTTTGGGGCCTCGAAGCGTCGGGTTCCCTGGTTCCCGAAAAGCCTAAAGCACGAAAAGCAGCCTTTAAAACGGGGCCCTCAGAGATCCTGTAAAGAATCCTTTAAAGGATCTATAGCCAAGGATCTACAACGGTTCTGTGATGGGGTCTAGGGCTAAGGGTGCAGGGCTCAGTTTCTTTTGTTTGAGGTGTGTGTCTGTGTGTTTTCGGTTTTTGCTTGAGTTCTAGGGTTTGGCGTTTAGGGTACAGGAGCCTACTCCAAAAGGGCAGTATGGTACAACGTCCTGTGGCAACGGCCACTCAAGGAGCATATGACTGCTCCGATCCCTTCTTGCACAAAGGTTCGTATAGTTCGGATTCTAGTATCACTGTTACAGTTGGTGACAGGAGTGGCAGTAGCAGTGGCAGTATGTAGCAGTCGCAGTAGCAGCAAGAGCCGCTGTCGCAGTCGCAGCGCAAGTAGCAGTAGCAGTAGCTGCAGCAGTTCAAGCAGAGACTATAACAGCAGCAAGGGCAATCGACGAGCAAGAAAAAACATTACATAAACCCTACGTAGTTCATAGCAGTGCTCTGGAGGACCTGATCGACGTGGTCTTCCTGCGCCGAGGACGCAACTGAGCAGTGCACCCGGCTGCCGCCGAGGGATGTTTCCTATCCATCCACAGGCCCCGCATGAGCTATAGTTAATGTGAATATTGCCAGATCACAGTGACGATGAGCCGCAACAATGCCGATAAGAGTGATCAGAAGAACGCTAAATGGTAGTATCAGCCCCGAAGGCGAACAATAATGGAGAGGGCTCATGGGGAAGGGATCCCATCAGAAGGCTTAAACCGAAACCCAAGTCGTTGGTGCATGCGTCTACAATCCTAAACCCTATAAACTTTAAACCCTAAACCCTAACCCCCCCCCGTCCCCCCCGAGCCAATGAGAGGGCTACAGGGCTCTGGCGTTGCAGTTCTCCGGGTTCTGGGTTCAGCGCCCGGAGCGCTGGGCATGCTGCTTTGGACTTCTGGGCCCCTAGCTGCTGGCGACGAAGTACTTATAAAGAAACTTCAAATCATCATGATAACGATGAGTAATACCCTTGAATAGTAGTAGTAGTAGTAGTAGTAGTAGTAGTAGTAGTAGTAGTAGTAGTAGTAGTAGTAGTAGTAGTTGTAGTTGTAGTTGTAGTTGTAGTAGTTGTATTGGAATCTGATAGTCATAATATCAACAATATTGGCCGTTAGTGTGCATGTCTGAAGTTAGGGTACCACCTCGAGACGAGGTCTGCGTCCCCTTGCCGCCAAACCCACTCACCCCTATAGCCTAACCGTAAACCTTAAACCTCTAACCCTAAACTCTTATAGACCCTAAACCGCAAACCTGAAGCGCAAAGTTTCGTAACCGCAACCCTAGAACCCTGAACTCCTAAACCCTTAACTTCAAGCCCCTAATCCCTAAACCCTAAGCCCATAATGAAGGAAGCCTTAAGCTTTAAGCTCTCTCTCTCGTCTGTCAGTCAGACATCCTGCGGGGCGTGTTTCAGTGGATGCGTACGGCTACCCAAAACCAGGGCCCTCTCTGCAGGCGAGAAAGAGGGGTCCCTTCAGAAGTAGAACGGCTTCCTACTTCCCGTTAAGGGCTCCGAGAGTAGGGTAGGGTTTCCTTTAAAGGCATGATAGGGGTTCGATGATAGGCAGCCGCTGCCAGACGAGGCTGCTCGCAAAAGAATGCGGCACTTACCTGGTGTCAGCCTTACCCTGGCGAGCACGATGCGGCCTTCGAGAATTGCCGGTGTTCTCGCACCGGCCATGGAGGTTGGCCGCCGCCTCATCCTGTTTGCACGTGTTCTTTGGCACACCCTGCACATTCAGCGTCAGTTATGGTAAGATGGCATTGGATCTGGAGAACATCTCTGTCTCCATCGCAGCGGGCTGCATGGCCTGCCTCGTGGTGAAGTGTTGGAAGATGCCACGGTGTTGTCGATTGTCTGCAGTGCTGTGTTGCGGGTGAATGTGCGGTTGGACAGGGCTTTTCAGGAAGTGCCGTTTTGCAAAGGAGGACTACAGGAGTTCCCGATGCGGCACGGAGCCAAGCAACCAGCCGTGTTGATGTTCGCAGCTTGCTCGGCTTCGCTTTTTGAGGCAGGATGGCATGACTTTGCCAAGGAACGCTTGGGAAGCTGGCCTCCCAGACAGATATGAGCTGACGTCTGCAACTGTGATGTCTGTGCGCTGTTAGGCTTGTCGAATTGGCTCCGTGCCGTGGAGCCTGTAGTAAGGTCCAACGATAAGTGCGAATCAAGCGTAAGCTTGTGGGGTCTGCAACACATGTAGACAGCTTAAGCTTCATGCGGGCTGCAGCTAGATCTGCAGATCTGCAGGACTCTTCAGTTTGAAGACATGTTCTCCACAGACTTACGGTACATGTAGCAAAGCAGTGAAGAGGCTAAGGAGTGCAGTGAGGCGACTGCAGGAGATGGCAGGGAGCGACTAAGGAGGCCCGGAAGATGTGACAACTGGAACGGTATTGTGAGCGTGCTGGAGAGCAAACATGTGAGTAGCAAAGCGAGCCTCCGCAGGGTTTAGGAGGGGGTAGGGCTTGAGTCGTGGGCGGGGATCCAGAGCTTGCGGGCAGAGGTGGGATGGATGCCGCGGAAGCACGTTATTGCATTCTTTCCGCAGTTCTGTCGGGGGTGCTCAGGATGCGTGGACTGTTCACAGGCCCATGCTGGGAAGGTAGCTATGTGCATTTTTTTGTGTTTCTTTCGCAGTCTGAATTGTTCACAAGGCCCATACTGGGAAGGGAGCTATGTGCAGTTTTTTGGGCTTCTGTCCCGATCTGGACTGTTCACAGGCCCATGCTGGGAAGGGGGCTGTGTGCATATTTTTTTGTGTGTTTTTTCACAGTCTGGACTGTTCACAGGCCCATGCTGGGAAGGGAGCTATGTGCATTTTTTTTGCGTGTTTTTTCCGGGCTGGACTGTTCACAGGCCCATGCTGGGAACGGAGCTATGTGCATTCTTTTTTCAATTTTTCTCTGCACTGTTCACAGGCCCATGCTGGGAGGGAGCTATGTGCATGTTTTGCTGTTTGCAATCTGGATTGTTCACAGACCCATGCTGGGAGGGAGCTATGTGCATTTTTATGCGTTTCTTTCCGGATCTGGACTGTTCACAGGCCCATGCTGGGAAGGGAGCTATGTGCATTTTTTTGCGTTTTTTTCCAGTCCGGACAGTTCACATTCCCGGGAAGGGAGCTATGTGCATTGTTTTTCCGCTGTTTTTCACAGTCTGGATTGTTCACAGTCCCATTCTGGGAAGGGAGCTATGTGCATTTTTTTGCGTTCTTTTAGTTTGGACTGTTCACAGGCCCATGTTGGGAAGGGGGCTATGCGCATTTTTTGCGTTTTTTTCAGTCTGGATTGTTCACAGGCCCACGCTGGGAAGGGAGGCATCTGCATTTTTTTTGCGTTTCTTTACCGATCTGGACTGTTCACAGGCCCATGCTGGGAAGGGAACTATGTGCATTTTTTGAGCATTTTTTTGCGGTTTTTCCAGTCTGTACTGTTCACAGGCCCATGCTGAGTGGGAAGTATGTGCCAATAATTTTCATTTTTTCCAGTCTGGGCTGTTCACAGGCCCATGCTGGGAGGATCTGGGAGGGAGCTATGTGCATTTTTTTGCGCAGGCCCATGCTGGGAGGGAGCTATGTGCATTTTTTGCGTTTTTTTCCAGTCTGGATTGTTCAATTGTTCACAGGCCCATGCTGGGAAGGGAGGCATCTGAATTTTTTGCATTTTTTTCAGCCTGGACAGTTCACACGCCCATGATGCTGGGAAGGGAGCTATGTGCATTTTTTCCTTTTTTTTTCAGTCTGGACTGTTCCCAGGTTCATTCTGGGAAGGGAGCTATGCGCATTTTGTTTTGCGTTTTTTCCAGTCTGGACTGTTCACAGGCTCATGCTGGGAGGGAGCTATGTGTTTTTTTGAGTTTTTTTGCAGTCTGGATTGTTCACAGGCCCATGCTGGGGGTTGGAGGGCTGCTGTAACGCAGGAGCCTCAATGATAATGAGAAGAGCGTGCTGGCGTAGATTCTGGCAGAAGAAGTATATGGGCAGCAAAAGGCTACATTATTGCATGCAGTTCCGACTCCCTTTGGAGGGTTTTTTGAGAATCCGTGACGGCAGGCCCTGCTTCATAGGGTTTAGGTTTAGGGCATCCGGTCCGGGCTTTGGGTCTTTAGGGCGTGTAGGGTTTCAGGTTGCCTGTGGTGTACCATAGGGGCCTTCCTCTACCACATTTTTGGGGGGTTCCTTTGATTCTCATCGTATAATTTACCACCACACCTTATTCGAATTTATGAAGGCCCCTATATGACTGCTTCGTGTCAGTGTTTTATTGGCCCACAGCCTGCAGAGAGGACCGAGGTTTTGCGGCAAAGCCGTTATTTGATGTCCCCCGAAAGCAGCAGAGTGATTGATTGTCAGGGCAGCGGCTCAAAAAAGGGAATATGATCACATGCCGCGGCACATGGCCTTGTCCTACAGTCCTGAAGCCCGAAGCCCGGAACCCTAAACCCCAAACCCGGCACCCTACAGCCTACAGCAACCCCCTCGAGCGCTGACACTTCAAACCGCCCTCCGTCAACTCCGATCTGAGGTCCCTTGCCTTAAGCCGGAGCAGGTCCTTCTGGACAAAGCCCTGCAAGACCGTAACCCTAAACCCTTAAGCTCTAAGCCTCTGAACCCTAAACCCTGAACCTCAACCCTGAACCCTAAACCTTTCACCCTAACCCAGGACCATACATACTCTACAAGGCGCCGCAAAAGCTCAGCAAGCCCTGTGAAGCTCTACTAGACTACTAGACAACTCAATGTGTATTAGGCCTACAAAACCACAGAAGCCCTACACCCAAAATGTCAAACGCATGTAAGACGATCATAAAAGCTTTCCGAACCAGGCGCAACAAACCTGTAAGACTGGAAAGACTCCAGCAAGGCCCTTCGGCAAAACAAAGGTTCAATGCCCCCACCGAGAGTCTCAAAACATATCCGTGGGCATTCAATTGCAATGACTCGTGTTTGGAAATCCAACACCAAAACCCGTAACTCTTAAACCCGGATGGTCTGCTGGCTGACTGCTTGCTAGCCTCTCGCCCAGTCAACCCCCCCACCCCTATTCCTGAAACCCTAGACTCTAAAACCCTAAACCCTAGACTCTAGACCCTAAAACCCCTAAAACCCTAAGCCTTAAACCCGAAACCCTGAATCCGGAACCGCAGCGGCGCCACAACCTTCATCCCAAGTTGAAGCCCTGGAAGCTGAAGCACTGGCGCAGGGCTTGGGCTCAAAGCCCCAAAGAAGCTTCAAGTTTGAGAGTTTGAAGACCAAGGGCATTTAGGGTTTATAGTGTTTAGGGTTTAGGGGGCTTAGGGTTTAGGGTTTTAGTGTTTAGGGGTTTATTGGTTTGAGGTTTAGGGGCTCAGGGATTTGGGGGTTGGAGCGGGGCGGCTTCAAGGTCTTATGGTCCAAATGCTTAGAGCTTTGAGGGTTTAGGAAGTTCAAAGTTTAGGGCGGTTTGAGGTTCGGGGGATTTGAGGTTTCTAGTTAAGGGTTTCGAGATCTAGCTAGGAT